TAATAAAAAGAATCAAAATGAGGGTGGAGAGAAGGAAACTCAGTGATGAGTTAATATAACCTATAACATGTAGGAGAGATTTTGACACCCTCTTCCACCTTTAAAACTACATGCAGAACATCTACAAAGCCACTTCGCTCTTTAGACTGGGGTAAACTAGTATTTTAGACTTGATTTTTTTGAATTGGAGAGTTTAGAACAACAAATATATTATCTTTATTTTATTTAGAAGTTTAGAAACAGCCCAAGGAATTTACTTTCTGGTTAAAAAAAAAGAAAGCTGAATATAAATCTACATGAAAATTTTAATGCCTACAATAGTCAACGGCAAATTAATGGCCAAATCCAATAAAGCACTGTTCCCTGTTATGGGTACCTTTTTGTTAATGTGAATGCCTATGCCAACCTTTGGTTGGTTCATTTGGTGAGCTGAAGAAAAACATTCTTCAAACCCTTATATGCATTTCCTGAGTTCCTAGAATACCAGAATACTGACACACGATTGTACTATTTCATATCTGGGGAAGATGATTGAATTTCACTAAAAACCACAGACAAAGGAAACCAACAGCTCCACATTAATAGTTCTGATAGCCCCACCAAAGAGGAAATACTAAGAGGAAGTTAATCTAAGAGTGTGACAGGGCAGAAGTGATTTCAGCAGAAAAGCCTCAATATTCAGCCCGTTCGACTAACCCTCATCCTTATCCCAGTCCCCTCTGGACCCGCTCTCTTCTCCAGCGACTGGCTACAAGGCAAAAGGAAAGGTGCTTGGATTCAGATAAGCAGGATTCTAGATGTGGCTGCGCCGCTTTCAGGGTCGCAGCCTCAGTTTCCATAGCTGTCAAACAGGATAATAGTTATTCCAGTTCTCTCCCTGGGATGTTGCCAAGGTCGTGTAAAAATACGCTGTCCTAAGATAAGCCAAAGCCACCATCATTGGGAGAGTCGCCAACAAAACTCGGCTTCCCTCTGCAGACAAGGCTGGTTCGACCTAGTCAACAGGAAGCTCCTTGGCTGGGACAGACTCGGAAGGAGGCCAGACGCGAGCGTTTCGGGACGGTGATCAGGTTTGTGATGAGGGTGTTAGTAACGCACCCCTGGCTCCCGCGGCTGGGCTGAGATTTTACTATCAACGACAATGGGTGCGGAAGCATAGTACTAACAAGCAAACAGCAAACCAAAAAAAACTCAACCCTGTCCTCCCCCACAAAAACAAACAAAGCCCCAAAGTCCTCCGCACTACAGAGAGCTGGTCGAAGGGAAAGGAGAAAGCGCAGGGGACGGGATCGGTGCCCCCAGCTTCATCTCCCGCCGCAGCCCGGTCGGTGGACGCAGGGTCCGCAGGGTGGGGGTGGGGGGGCTGTGGGCCGGCTCTCCGCGTGCAGAACAGCCTCCTCTTCAAGCCCCCTCGGCCTACACCGCCTCGGGAATCCGCCCCGGACCCCGCCGCCATGTTGGGTCGGGATAAGTGACTCGGACTCGCCACCTAGGGGGACCGCGACAGGGGAGGGCCACAGCCCCGGGCGGCGCGCGCCGGCGCAGGAAGGCGGGGGGCGCTCCAGCCCGGGTGGGCGCGGCGCTGGTTCCGGTGAGCCGCCTGGCAGCGCGCGCAGGTAGCCGCAGCCCCCGCCCCCGCGCGGAGGGGCGGAGCCAGGAGTGAGGGCGGGCGCCGTGCGGAGGGGAGGTACGGAGGGAGGCCGAGGGGTGGGGGAGCCCGGGAATTCCCTCCCCCTGAAGTAACGAGTTAGGGGCCGGCTGTACAGTCGTCGCTGGCGCGGGGCGCCCGGGACGAGGAGGTGGAAGGAGGGAGAGGGCCCTGCGGGCCTCGCCCCCGTCCCCCGCCACCCCGAGGCGCAGCAGCAGCGACCCATGTGAGCGCGACTGGAGGGCAGGTACCGACTCCGCGGAGCCCCGGGGGCGAAGGCGGCCGACCCCGGCGGGGCAGCGCTAGGCCCAGGCGCCCGCCCGCCCCCGAAGGCGCCGCCGCTCCCCGCCCCGGCCGGCTCCGAGCCGGGAAGTTGGGGAGAAAGTTCTCCCATCCCTGGCCCCGACTTGCCGGGCGGGCGTGTCTCCTTCCCGGTGCTACCTGCTGGCCCCCTGATTCGGTCTCCGCCCCGTCCAGTCCTTCCTAATCCCGCCCAAGTCCGACTTAAGGTACTAGGATCGTTGGGAACCCCCCCCCCCCATCCGCGTCCGTAAGGTCTTGTGGGCCACCTGGCGAGGCGGGGGCGAAGTTTATTTTGGCTCGCGCCCTGAAGTAAGCGGCGAGGGCAGCCTCCCCTTTCTGTCCCATAGGTTGGGGGTCAGTGTTGACTTACACCGGTTGTCTGCGGTGCCGGGAGAGCGGCCGATGGTGTGTGTGGGGGACGAGTGGGTGAGCCTCACGCTTCACTTGGTTTGATTGAAAACCACAACATGTTAAAGTTTTCCTTTGTTTTGTGTTGGGGGTTGGGAAATATGCCATTCAGCATCCACTTTTACAGTATTATGCCACTCTGCCTCCCAGTGGGTTCGGCGCTCTGTCCACATGTGTTACAGAAAAATTTGCTTTAAAGTGTTTTTATTGTTGATAATTGCTTCCAGCTTTTGCTTTATGGGGCAGCGTTGTTTTAAGAAGCTCTTCGAAAATCAAGTCCGATGTAGGGACTGCTTTAATTTTGTGTTGTAGTGAGTGGTATTGGTTCGGATTTGGTTGAATTATTTTCTTCGTAATTAAGTGAAACACATGGAATAACGCTCTAACAATTTATGAATTGTTAAGGTAAAGAAGTGAAAAGTCTCTAGTGGAATCACAGCTTTATGTTCATGCTGGTGGTTATGTATATATGTTACATTGGTGGATGTTTTCACATTGATGATTTCACATATGCTACATATGATTGTAGTATATTCTTGCATTGTAATTGTAGGATTACAGTGCCAAAGGTATCTTGATAATTCTCAGTATATTTAAACCATCGTGTTAAATTTCTAAAGTTAAGTTACACACTAAGGAAAATATTACTAAACATGTACACGTGACTATGCATTTAAGGCAAAGTAATGTGGTAACTAATAACTAGTGCAGTGTTTGGCACATACTGACAGGAAACATTTTGAATGGACAGGTAATGGAGTGTCTTGTCTTAGAAGCCAACGATCTTGTATACAACATATATGATTTTCATATATTGTTCTGTAAAAAAGTTGTATTTCACTAAGCCATACATTTGTTTTACTAATATATGAGACCCTTGCCATAGTTTGACATTTAAGAAAAGGAAGTTTAATTATATTTTAACTTTTGGACATTAGCTAAACCACAGTGGCGATTTTGAATGCTGGTCGACAATTCATAGGGTCCTAAATTTGAGGGGAAAAAAAGTTGCCTTTGATCTGAACCTGAATACAAGACAGTTCATATCCATGTTTGTTTCCAGAATAAAAGACAAAAGGGCTCTTAAAATATGTACTCTGCTATAACCGCCATAATGTTATAATAGCTTTAATTTTACAGCATGTTTTTGCTGACTTCATAAACCACAAAATTGACTCCTTTTTGTTCAACCGAAAGTGAAATTACAGCTTTGACTTAATCTTTCTGGGATAGATGGAATTTGTCTTATGGCTGAAGTATAATATTAATACATAGTTTAAGTAGGTTTTTAATTCAAGAAATTCTCAAGCTGCAAAGTCAATGTCTATGCAAATCTTCAAGGTATGTAATGTTAAAAGAATAAATATTTTAGAAGAATAACAGTAACTCACTATAAGTGAAATATTAACAACCCATGGTGTAAAACTTGTTATGCAAAGTTCAACTTTGAATCTTTTTAGACAGTAGTTTATTAATGTAATTTTTCTTTATAAATATTTTTAACTCTCAATCTAGTGTTCAGTATGGGCATCATTTGTTATTGGGTTGTTGGAAAAGTAATGACGCCTTTTTGCAACGAAAAACAAAAATACGTCATGACTTTTCCGACAACCCAATAGTTTCTATTAGCATTATACTAAAAAGCCTAATATCAAAAAATTTAAAAGTGCGATACTAAGTTCTGGTATGTAGGAATTTGGGTGATAAAACTATATTTAAAAAAAAACTGCAAGGAAGTGATTGCTATAAAAATAAAGAAATGGGAGGAGGGAGGAAGTTGTGATAGGGATCTGGCTTCTGAAGTGGTGGCAAAGTTCTTTTAACCTCATGGTGGTTGCAAGGGTGTTGGCCTTAGTATAAATCATTAAGCCATAAATTTGTTCTGTGTGCTTTTCTGTATCTGTGTTTTAGTTTACATAAAACTTTTTTTTTCTTCTTTAAAGAAGCTTGTGTTTAATGTAGTGTATAAGGTGCTTGGATAAAGAACTTAATATTTGGTAACTGACTTTAGAACACTATCTGAGCTGTCCTTCGCAAACAGAATTAGACTTACTACATCATAATTATCGTATACCAGCTAGTGTATGTAACTACTTTGACATGTAAATAACATGTTAATGTTAATATTTTGAGGGAAGACAGCAGGTTTTACTAACTTTAAATCCTCTTTAGCTTCTATATGGTAAGTGACAAAGAGGTAATCAAAATGTTTATTGAAGTAATGGATACTGTTCTGTCATCAAGTATAAAATATACCCTATTTTTTCAGAAAATTATGTAACATGACAGTTAAAACTCAAAATCAACTGTGGAACCAAGGTAGTAAGTCTTGACTTTTATCCATTTTCAGTTTTGTGGAACAATAATACTTTAGATCAGTAATTTCAGTCTTAGTTTTGATATTGTTAGGGATGTAATGAAACTCTCAGCATAAAATAAGTTTTTGTTTACTTAAGTTCTATGAAGATGTAAAGGAAGAGTGTTTTGTTTCAAAGGAAAGCAAATGATAATATGGCGTAGAAGTTTAAAAAATGCTGAGAATCATTGCATTATGCTACTTAACTTGCTTTATGTAATGGCTTGCTGTTTTAGTTGCTTTGCATTTTTGTAATATAGAATTGAAGAAGAGATCACATCTTTGCTAGATTCTTATATCACAGGAACTTCCAGCCGTGTTATAAAGGTGATGTTTGTGGTGCTGGCTTTGTTACGTGAATATTTACAGGAAGTTTTAGTTAAGATCTTCCATTGTTCAGAACCCTACATGGCTTAGGTCACCTTCAGTTCAGATTCAAACACAAATACAAGTACAAATACAAATACAAATACAAGTTCCTCTAGTGAAGTAAAACTGCCTTTCTTTAAAGGAAATAGTAATCTGTTCTGATTAAAGAATCTTGGTATCTTATTGGTTGTGTGTACGGCAGTTTGTGTGTGGCTGTGGCAGGGTATGTATTATCGCTTTTTCTTCCTCTCAGCTGCTCCAGCGCCACAATTAGGCTGAGTATTGCTCAGCTGCAGCTGCTGGGTGATTATGAACCATCCAGCTCCTGTCTAAACTCAGAGGCAGATTTAGCAGAAGGAGCTATAGTAACAGCAGAGGGTGAGAGGGAAGAGCCGGTGCTGCTGCCAATATCATTTTAACATGTCTGTATGCCAAGGAATCCTTGGCTGCAGCAGCACTACTGTTGTCTTGGAACTAGCAGACTTGATGGCAACATAGCTTGGTTTGGATTGGGTTTACCTGGTGTTATGCTTTAAGACCTTGAAGCTCACTCCAGGAAACAGAGAATCCTGTAATTTCAGAGTACAAGATAATGTACCAGCGAGGTACTTTGGGACTGAGGTATAAGCTTCTGTGCCTGGGATATCAGCAATGACCCTCGGTTTTCCTTGTTTGTTACTACAGGTTCCCAGAAGCATATAGCATATACTCCATGCTGCTTTAAGCTGTGTCTCTTAGTAGTGCTGCTGCTGTTACTGTTGTTAGGGGTGGCAGGAGAGCTTATAAGCAAGCAGGTTGTTTGGACTCCCTACTTTATCCCAGGAAGTGGAAAACCTTCAAGAGGGATTATTTCTAGAACTAGCTGCACATGGCATATCCTCCGTGGCTGTCTGAATTTTACAAGTAGGAGTCCTAGATTTTCTTCTCCTGTTCTTCCTGTATTCCTGGGGTGTGAGAAAAGATGAACAAACACAGATACAATATCA